AAATTTTAAGTTAAAATATTATATTATATATTTTATTTTATTTAAATCTTGTATGAAAATTTGTATAAAATTAATTATAAATATTACAATAAATAAGGTTTAACATGTACTCTAAGAGTAAAGTTTAGACAATCTCTAAATAAAATAATTATATTTTATATTAAATAATTTAAAATAAGATCATATATTAATATTTTTAAATGCTCTAGTAAATTATATACTGTTAAAATCAACCAAATTAAGTGTAAGTTTAATTGTTGCACGTTTATAGAATTTGACAACTATAAATATGTTTATTAAAAATTTAAAGAATGAAGGTATAAGGAATTTAAATTATATTTGAAAAAAAAAACTAACAAAACAAAATTAAAATAAAGAATGCAATCGATTGGTTGCAGAAAAATTAAGAACTATCAAGGTCCTGCTTTGGAACATACCAAATAAGTTTCTTTCTGTTACCAATAATCACCACAAGAGTACCAACGATCTTAATCTAGAGATCTTCTTCCACTAAAAAGTAAGGGATTATAAATTCAAGTCATATGACATATGAGTAAGATGAGATAAGGGATGGGAGATAATTACCTCTAATTATACTAACAAGATCAAAAAAAATAATTGCCACAAGAGCAGATTCCACCCTTGAATCTATGGAATCGATTTGCATCTCTCAACACAATCTCTCTTTCAAAATCATTGGATATATACTTTATGGCATTGTGGCAGTCTCCACAGACGCGGAGGTTTTTTATTACCCGGATGGTGGTGGATGGAGGGGTGCTTATGAGTCCATAGGCTATGGCTAGCTTTTCACTGTCACGCTCCTTTTCCTCTTATTCCACGTCCAGAAGAGTGAATTCTGTATCCGGGACATATCCTTCTTCCTTGATCCTTCTAATAACATCTTCTAGCTTTGCATATATTGAATCAGACTGGGGATGGGTTCTATCATCCACCACAAACAAGTGTACCTTGTTCTTTACGTCTATCCAGCTAAACCCGGGATCCTTCTTTACATTCTTCCTCCTCATCGTTTTCCTAGCATCGCTCATGTCATCCCATCGGTTTGCAGCAGCATAGATGTTTGACAAAAGAACATAAGCTGCAGAGTCGGATGGCTCCAAGGCTAAGAGCTTTGTTGCCAAACGTTGACCGGTTTCTGTATCTCCCTGCAACCTACAAGCACCAAGCAGAGCTCCGTACATTGAAGCTGAAGCTTCATAGGGCATTGATAGAATTAGCTTCTCTGCCTCTTTAACACACCCTGCACGACCAAGGGCATCAACTAGACAGGAGTAGTGCTCAATTCCAGGCTCAATACCATAATTCTTGCGCATTAAATCGAAATACTCACGAGCTTCAGAAACTAGACCGGAATGACTACAGGCAGAAATGACGCCAATGAAAGTAACACCATCTGGCTGGATACCGAGAGATTTCATAACTTTGAAAAGGTTGAGGGCTTCTTCACCATTTCCATGTTGAGCTAAACCCACCAACATGGCATTCCACAAGGCTATGTTCCTAGTATTGAATTTTTTAAACAAACGATAAGCATCTTCTATGCTGCCACACTTTGCATACATGTCAATAAGGGAAGTCCCAACAAAAGGATCAGAACCACAATCCAACTTGATGACATTGGCATGAAGTTGTCTCCCTTGTTCTAATGCAGTTAGAAGAGAGGTGGCTTTGACAAGGGTAGCAAAAGTATATTCATCAGGTTGAATCCCAGACAGCCTCATCCTATGATATACAGAAAGGGCACGGTCTTCATCTCCATTTTCAACACATCCTGAAATCATAGTTGTCCATGCAACATCATCTGGTGCAGGAATATCATCAAAAACCAATTGTGCATCTACCATATCAGCACACTTGACGTACATATCTAGAATCCCACTCGTGACAACCAAATCTGCATCAAAGCCAGACTTTATGGCATAAGCATGAATTTGCCTACCTTGTCCCAACCCAAAGAGGCAACCACAAGCTTTGATTACCGTTGCCAAACTGATCTCATCTAACTTATATCCATTGTCATGCATCAAAGCAAAGAGTTTCAATGCCTTCTGACTATCATTAGTTAATATATAACCAAACATCATTGCATTCCAAGATGCCAAATCAAATTCACCTTTGTTTCTAAAAACAAGCTCTGCCTCTGCCATTTTTCCACCCCTAGAATAAACATCAATAAGAGCTGTTGAAACAAAGGTGTCAGCAACATTATCTGTTTTTATTGAATGAACATGGATCTGTTCACTGACATACAAGCCCTCTGAAAGTGAGGAGGAAGCCTTGAGAACACTTGCTAAAGTGAAATGATCTGGCCTTTGCCCATTTCGTAATAGATCAATGAACAGATTCACAGACTCTTTTTCTAAACCATTCTGGGTGCAACTTGATATCATTGAGTTCCAAGTAATTAAATCCAAATCTTTCATTTCAGAGAACACTTTCTGAGCCAATGAGAAGCAATTCATTTTTGAGAACATATTGATAAGGCTATTTGCTACAGAAACAGCTGAATCAAAACCTAATTTTAAAACCCTGCCATGAATCTGCTGTCCCAACCATAAATCAGTTGAACCAGTAACTGCAGCCAAAACAACTACAAATGTCACACTATCACATTCCACATTGGATTTGATCATATTGATAAAGCAATCAATAGCAATCAAATTCTTATCAGCTCGGAGATACTCAGACAAGGCCTTATTCCACAACACTACATTCGAATCATTGTCATACAAAAATAACTTAGTTGCATATGCTTGAATCTGCTCCATATGCCTCTTGCCTATATCAGAAGCAACATTAGAAATCCCACTAAGAACACAATGGATACTGACATCATCAGGACAAAGACCACTCCTATGTAAATTGCCAAAAAGAGAAACTGTTTCTTCCTTGAGATCCATTTCCAGGTATGCCTTCAGCATAACATTCCACAGCACAACATCTCTTATGGACATCTCCTCAAACAAAACCCGAGCCTCCCCAATTCGCCCAAATTTGGTGTATATATTTACCAAAGCACCTGAAACAAACTCATCCAACTCCAAACCAATCTTCACAGCATACCCGTGAATACTCTCTGAAGCCCAAACATACCCAGAATACAAACACAACTTCAACACTGGAGCCAGAGTCATTTTACTTGTGGAAACATAATACCCACGAAGAAGCCGAAAAAGGCGAAAACCCTCCTGCACACTGTCAACCACAGAGTCGACAGACTGAGCATAGGCGGTTAAGATTGAGTTCCAAGTAATAAGATCTCTATCAAGAGTTCTATCAAACAGGCGGCGTGCATAGGACAGAGACCCGCATTTTGAATACATGGTAATAAGGTTGTTGGTCAAGAAACGATCTGGGTGTCCTCCGGAAGTCACGATACGGCCATGGACGCACTTGCCTAGGAGCAAGTAGGAGGCTGAAATCGCGGTGCGGAGGACGGAGAACCATGGCGAGGAAGAGGAAGAAGAGGGAAGTGGGGACGGAGATGCAGAGAAGGAAGAGAAAAGGAGGAAAGCCTGTGGATTTGAAGGTTTTGGAGAGAAGATTATGGGTCTGAAATTTGCTAATGAGTGCATTTCTTGGGAGCATTGTTTGGTTAAATTTCCCTCCAAACTGATTCCACAGCTTCCATGAATTTAACCAAAACACACAGCAGTCGGTTAACTGGCGCTAAATAATTTTTTTTAATGTCCAATTTGGTCCTCCACTTGTTGGTTTTATCCCCTTTTTGGTCCCTTAGATTTTTTCAGTCCTTAAAAAGTCCTTGAACTTATATTTTCAGCAATATTGTTTTTGCTTCTTCTTTTTTTTTTTTTTTCCAAAAGAGAAGGATTTTGGGTGAGAGGAGGTTTCCGAGTCCAAGGCCTTGTGGATTTTACAAGTTATATATCCACATACACCTGCTAGCAATAGAATTCAAACCAAAGATTTTATTGTTTCAAATTTTATCAATTTAACTAACTTTATTGACATAATATTTTTTTTGGAACATAACGCAATAGTGTTTTTATTAACACATGTATTTTTAGTCTTGGTTTTCAAATTTTTTTGCTCAATTAAACAGGCCCTAAACTTCAAACTTCGATGAATTTTATTAATTTTTAAAAATTATTCATAATTGTTCTGTATAACACTTCTACAAAAGTTTTAGTCAAACAACATGCATTCAGAGATGGAGCAGAATTCCAAAACCTCAGTCCCCAGCATGCGCTTATCTATTCCAATTTCTAGCTACTACTCATCCTCCCATAACCTTAATACACTGCTCTTTTTTGTTTCAGGAGAACTGCTAGTTGCTGCATGGAGTCTCGTGCTGAGGATTTTATAAAATATCTTGTGAATTGTGATGGTTGCGGGAGAACCCAGTTCCTCAATGGATATCCCTCAATATCTTCACCTACATGTGCAGTGCCTTGAAAGGCCTAAAGGGATGAGAAAGAGATGCTTCATGAATGGCACTATCATGTAAATTCAATTCTATCACGTTACATCTGGGGATTAATTAACAGGGAAAAAAGATTTAACAGAGTAAAAATTAAGGTACAAATTTAACATACAAAAAGATCAGCTGTGTTGTAGGGCTGGCTCCTAATGCTACCAAAATGTAATGCTGCTTGCAGTCAACTGGCTAAATCATAATGATACAATTCTGCTTTCCTTTTTTCTTCCCACCTTGATTTCACTTTCCTTCCCCTTATCCTGTGGAACCTTTGTTTTCCCATTTTTGTTTTTGTTTTTTTTTTTTTTTTGGTTTTTCTCAGACCTCATCTACTTTCTCTTCCATTTCCTCCCATGTACAGATATAAGAATGATTACGATGACTATGACTTGATGAATTTTTTCCGTGTCAAAAACTACTGTCCTCTGTCATGTCCTTGTCTTAATATATCACAACTCGGAGCAGCCCTGGCTGGGGTTCCGTGTAGTCAAGGCCCTCCTCTTCAAGCAGATACCTCTGTACAGCAACTGGTAGTCTTGCTGGAGTGCGGGATCCTCTAGTGTGATGACCAGTTCCGACACAAATGTAAACTTGCAGTCGATGATCTGCTGCCCGTGCTGTGCTCCTAAGCACAGACAGCTCATGTTTCAACACACCAATGGCTTCACTGACATGCAACCCATGCAAGTCTATCATCCTCTCCGGCCCTCTCACATTTTCAGGCCCAACAGGGTTTCTGAAAGGTAGTTGATAGAAACAAGCAAAGAAATCAATCTAGCATTTACTCTATATCAAAAATAAAACCAAAAACAGGGACAATAAAACTAAGTGCAAGCATTATGGCATTCTACTGCCTTAATCTCATTATCCTGCCAATTGTTCAAAAATTTAACTGTCAACATTTTTGTGATTTATCAGTATCAGCAGAACCTATGTAATTAACAGATAAGAAGGGCACGGGATCAATATTATGTTCAACCTCAGGGTTTAATAACAACCAACAGACAACTGTTTGATTATCAAACGAGGACACATCTCATTCATCCTATTGAACAATGAGAGATGTTGTATAATAATAAATACTAACAGAAACAAAAGAGTAGTGATGGGGCAACATATTAAGCATTCCATTAGGTCAAGAAAATCTTCTTTTCATGACCGAGACATAATGCAACCAGCAAGAAATTACCAACCTCTGGCGGTAAATGGATTCCTGAGCTTTTCCATGGGCTGCCTTCATACGCATATTATGTAGATGCCCTTTCACACTCAGCTCCTTTGCTAGAGCCTTATTGCCAACAGCATATGCTTGTTGTGCCTATTTTAAAATATCAAAAGCATTATGATATCACCCAGTGATGTTGAAAGTTTAAGTGAAACAAACAGACAGGAGTAGCGAAGATCTAAATCATGCTTGGCTGACCATTTTTAATACCACCAACAGGCATTTGTGCAAAACCAAACATGTTATACGCAAAGGGAAGGTTGGTTGCATTAAAGCATGATTTGAAAATATATTAAAACATCAAACTGAAAGTCTGAACACAGGGAAACTAGAACCAAAGAATTTTTAGGGTAGCGTGGAAGCTTTGTTTCAAATTTCAACTGTTGATACCAAACCTGTCAAACAACAAAGATCCTATTCCATCAATATCAGATGTAAACCAAAGATGACACCACTTTTGGCATTAGGAGTCTCACAAATTTTGTCATCAGCAGTCACCATGCTCTGGTAACTTATGAAGCACGGCCAGTATCTTGAAGTTTCTTCTGACATTAAAAGCCCAAGGAAGACAGAAACAATATGCAAGAAATTATCATATCATACGTTACAGAAAGATACCTGTTCTAAGTATGCATTACGCAATCGTGCATGGTCGCGGGCCTCTTCCCGCAGTTCAGAGTACATATTTGCTGCCAGCTCAACAGTGTTAAAAGCAAATAAATATTGCTCTAATAAAAGCTGTATAAATGCAATACACTTTATAATGCAGAATATTACCCACTGCATCCCCAGTTTCAAGCCAAACAGGAGCTGTACGTGCCGACCCACGAGTTTGCAACTTGTCAGCATAAATGCCTCTCCCATGTCCAGTATTATAGGAGTTAGCTAAAAGATGAGAACTTCGACTTGAGCCACCAGTGGAATCAGTAGAACCATTTCTATCATACTTCCATATACCAGAATCTTGAGATGCCAACTTCTTGACAGCTGATGCAAAATTTATAGAACCACCTGATGGAAGGGAAGTACTAGATTTGAACATGAGTATGTTGTCCTTCGCAGAAGACTGATAAGGATTGGCACTTTGGTGAAGATCATCTCCTGCATATTTTGAAGGACTATTTTGACAATCTGACACCGTAAGTGCAGGAAAGTCCAGTGCACCAAGATTAGGAGACGATAATGCCTTTGAATTCAGATTCTGGCTGAAACCACTATCAACTTGAAGCTGCAATTGAACATAAAATCTACCACTAAATGCCAAAAAACTTAAAAAGAAAATTAAGACCCACATAACAAACATTGAAATGTCGGAAGGCTTTTCAACATAGGCAAAAAAAGTACTTGCACTCAGAAGGCACAAAACATACAATTAGACAGATTTAAACTCGAACGATACAGTTAGCATCTGACCTACACAACATTAGTTCCTAAACAATACAATAAAAACAGCAGGGAACAAGAAAATTTTCACACAGAACAACTACCCTCTTGTACCAAACCATAATGTATCATGGATAGGAGGCTACTTGTAAGGTGATTGCATTGAAGTCACCTCACCACTCTATGGGAGCCATCTTTTCCCTGCCAAAAGAAGGCATAAAAGGGATTGCTCTCCACAGTTAGCATCCAACCTATACCAACTAGGCAACATATCCCTTTCAAAGAGGCAGGACTCAAAACACAGACGTAATTCAAAACAATAAGAATTAATAATAAAGAAAGGTCAAAACAAATCTTTAGCATCATTTTTATTTTGAAAACTGAAGAGGCAACATTGGATTCATCATTCAACAAGGGAGTTAAGCACTTAAAAGTTTGACTAATTTCAAATGGCTATGTATACACACCTCAAGCTGATTGAGCATCTCAATAGTTAAGTTTATGTCACCACCATTGGCAAAATAAACTTCCTCAAGGCTTTCAACAGAAAATTCAGGAAATTGAGAAGCCAAAAAATTGAGAGGATTCATGCCAGAATTATCCAGGCACGTATGGTCAGCCAGCAGATCATTCATGAAACCAGGTCTAGTCCCATCAAAAAGAGCTCCCTCCCCACTATTGCTGAGAAGTTGTTCATTGTTCCTTGGTTGCTTGTCCCAAGGCTTAGCTGGCAAATGTGGATAACTAGCAAACGTAGGATCCTCTGAATAGGATGAAGCAGAATATCCAATCTTCTCGGCAAAGCCACTAGCATTGAGATTTTGTGGAGACAAATCCTGCTGCTCACTGAATACATATCCACTCCCAGTAGAACGAAGAAACCTTGAAGCAGGAAACCTGGAAGTTTCATTATTATCAAGCAATGATAAACCTGACAGAGAGAGGCTTCCAATTCCATGGGAAACATCCTCATTCATGACCTTAAAATCTGGGGTAATGTCATCAGGGAGCTGACTACGCCAGTATTGGTGGGCCTCATCATCAGAATTATTTGAAACTGATGACTCTGACCGATCAAGAACTGTTTTTCCAAGAGTCCCAGAAGTAGCAAACCTTGCTGTCACATCTGCCACACTAGTGCTTCCGGATGCAGATGATGACCTAAGGGCAAAGGGAACAAACTCTGCAGCATTTGGGTTTAAAGCTGTTACCTTGCTAGAGGTAGTTGGCTTTGTATCACTGATTTGGGTCCCTTTCTTGGATAAGCTCATTATTTACTGAAACAGATGAAGATTTTATATAAATAAAGCAGACCAACACATGACACTCTTGAGTTCCAGCAGGTTTTAGCCAAATCCTGAAAAGGAAAATATCACAAAATGAGAAAGAAAAGTTTAATTTGAAGGTGGAATCATTGTCACAGCTCTTCCCAGAAATAGACTTAACATCCATGCCTGAAACTGCCAATCTCTTTACAGGATACACACAGCCCAACCAGAAAATCAAAAACACAAAGGATTAATTATATGTTAATTCTATCTAGCTTGTATGCATGCATCCATTGCCCTAAACAAAATGAGCAGACAAAAGCCAATCCCCTTCAACAGATAACTTCTCCATAATTTCCAAAGAAGAAGAAGAAGCAGCAGCTTAATAGAACTCAAAGTCAAGAGCTTTATTCAAAATAAGGAGTAACCCAAGCAATATTTCCATCAATCAGCAACATGGTACAAACAAGAACTACCATACTTGAAGAAATTTATTGAAATATAAAATAATTATAGGATAGTAACACTTAAAACCCTAATAGACACGTTTCTGTGATAATTCCCAAGAAAAAGGGCAAAAATTTACACAATTATTAAAACGAACAATAAATAAAAAGGCATAAAATCCTCAATTTAAAAAAAAAATTAAAAAATAAAATAAAATCTTCAATTTACTTCAAGAACCAAGTTCATTTAATTAAAAAAATAAATAGCCACAAAAGCAAAAATAATATTTCCTAAAATCTAATAAAATCGCGTGTAATAATTAAAGAAACAGGAAAACCCTAAATGAAGAACAAAACAGAACAAGAAACAAGCATTATCCGAGCAACCAATTTCCAAGGATCTAGAGTCAATCCAACACGCCAAAGAAAATCAAACTTCAAACAAAAAAAAAAAAAATCAAGGCCAAAACTCTAAAACAAGCATCCCCACAAACCCTTACACGCAGCAAGAAGGAGAAATCAGGAGATCTGGGGAAATTCCATACCTTTCCGAACCAAATCGAACGGATCCATAACCAAACGAAATGAGAGATCCGATAAGGAGAAGATATAAAAGATGGGTGTTGGAACGAAGAAGAAGAAGAAGAAGAAGAAGTAGAAGAAGAAAGGGATAAACTTGGATTTTGTCGATTCGTATTGGGATTTGAGCTCGAGTAGCTTTCTCTTCTGGCTAATCTGGCTGTAGTATATTATCTCTCAGCTTTCAGGTCTCCTCTCTCTCTCTCTCTCTCTGTTTTTTCTCCTTTTTTTTTCTTTCTTTTTTTTTTTTAACTGGGTTTAGCTAATTCCACCACCACGACCACCACAAAAAAATAAAAACAAGACAGCCATCTCATCGCCACTCGATTCCATTTTCTCTCTCTCCACCCTCAGATCGTAAAAGCTTTTTTTTCTTTTCTTTTTTTAAAAATGTGTTGTCCTATTTTCTTAAAGTAAAAAGTAAGATGTTTTAAATTGATTTTTTTTTTTTTTGAATATAATGAAATTTTGAAAAATGAGAATTTTTTTTTAATTATTAGTGGAAATTAAATTTTTGATTAATTAAATTAAAATGTTAAGGGTTAAAAATGAATCATTAAATGTAAAAGTCTAGTTTGATGTTTTAAATTGAAATTGTATGATACCATGTTAGTGATTTTAATAGTTTATATAATATATAAATAGTGTAGAATTAAAAAAAAGAAGAAGAAGAAGAGAGAGATGTTGCTTATTACATAACTAAACTAAAAAATAATATGATATTATTGTATAGGATGGATGAGTTAAAAAGGTGAACAAATTATTTTTTATTGTATAGTTTAATTTAAATTACATAGTACCTAAATAGAGGGAAGTTTCCTAATGTTAGAGTTATTTCTTTATTTAATTATTTTTGTTTTGCAATTTATATAGTTCGGGTGAAAAATAGATTAATCTTACTCTTTAATAAAATAAAAGTATCTTATTTTGTAATTTGATTTCAAACTACAAATTAAGAATTATTAGAAAGGAGTAATAATCCAATTATTTAAGATATATTATCTAAAATAATTTAAACTATACAATAATTTAAATTGTATTGTTAGAAATAGTGTGAATTGTACAGTAATTTATTAAAAAATTTACAAATTAAATAATTATTAATTTCGAGTTAAGATTTGGGTAGGGTGAAGACTGATGTGTGAAATGAAACAGTGGGGTAATATTTTTTATTATTATTTTTAGGTTTAAAAGAACAAAAAAATCCAAAAGCTTTGTAAAAAAGTTCATTGTCATCCCTCAACTCAAAAAAGAATCATGATAATCCTTGAACTTTTAACTCCATTAAGTTGCCCCTCAACCTATTTCTTTTATTGCTTTTAACCCTCAAGTATTTTCGTTAATGATTAAAGCCCTCCAACTACAAGACTTCGTATTTTATAAAGAGCATTTGCTCTAGTGTTTGGGTTTTCATGAAAATTTAATAATTCTATTAAAAGTTAGAAAAACAGTGAAAAAGAACTCGGATGTTTTCTTTTTTGATTTATATTATTATTTCTATATGACTATATTATGTAAAATAAAATGTATAGAATTTAAAAAATAAAATCAAAGAAATCTTCGTAATAAAGTTAGGATAGTGATATGCTTTTGTATTTTTCTACCTAACTTGAAAGTAGTTGTACAATTAAGGTAAAACCTTATGTTAAAACCTCAAACTTACCTCAAATTTTTTATTAAATATCTAGACTTTTATTAAAGCATATAATCCTTTAAATTTGATAATTTAGACAAATTAAGCCTTTTTTATGGAAAACTTAACATTTGTTTGTCCTTTTCTTACATGAATAATTTAAATATCTGTCATGTAGGTAATAAAATATTAATATTTTATCCATACAAGTAAGATAGAAAATAAGTTTGTTGTAAAAAAGATGGTTAAATTATTCAAATCGTCAAATTTAGAGATTTATTTATTTCAATAAAAATTTAGTAATTTAATCAAAAATCTAAGATAAATTTGAGAGTTTAATATTGGATTTTGCCTACAATCAATTTCAAATTCTAATATTCAACCGTTTCAATGCAGTGAATATTAAAGGTTTGATATTATTGTTATTATTATTATTATTATTATTTTGCAAATCAAGTTGTCATGCACATGATGGTCAACCTTAAATCCAGGAAAAGGGTGATGTGAGCATAAAAAACAATAAGAAGAAGAAGAAGAAGAATGGGGTAAATGAGCAAAGCAACGCCGTTTAGGACTTCGGAGACAAAAACGAAATTAGGCATGACACATACGCACACTAATCCTTAAGATAACTAAAAAATTAAAAAAGCAAAAATTATGGTTATTAAAATAAGAGTGAGGTCATGATATTAAATAAAAAAACTTATATTTACTATTCGATATTTTATAGGCAGATATAATTTGGAAAGTAAAACACCAAATTCATTTTAAAACTTCTACATAAACTATTGTTTACACACCTCCATTCCTCAAAACACCAAATTCATTAAAATTGAGGTGGATTCACGTCGAGCTTAAGTTTATGAGTAATTTATCTCACTTATAGCGTAATATTGTTTTTCAATATTAAACAATTAATTAACTCTCTATGTAAAATAATTTGTAAATTGTACTTGAAAATATAATAATAATAACTCTTACGAATTTCATTTTTTTAAGAGTCAACTCTTGGAGATATATGTTGGGTTGTCAAAGCGTGCATTTTTTATGATGTTGTTGATAAAGGGTTTTTTCAACTTATGTGATTAAAGAGTATTTTTTTATTATAAATACATAATATATAAAATTTGATATTAATTTTAATATTTATATTTAACAAATAAATTTAATTAGATAATAAATAAATTAAAAATTAATTTTTATTTTTTTAATATAATTTTATAATAAATTTTTCCTATAAAATTCGATCTGATTTGATTTCATATTTGTAAAAATTAGATGTGACTTTTAGATATAAAAAAAATGTAATTAATAATAATTTATAATTAAAAATATATTTATTATATTCTTAATTTATATAATAAAAAACATATTAGAAAAATTATTTAATCAATCCCGTATTTTTTAATTAAGTAAAATTTAAAATTCTAAGGTAATTCAGCCCAATCATGAAATCTCACGGCCCAAAAATTGAGGCCGCTCACCAATTTCCGCAGGCTGGATCGAAATCCAAATATATAATTTCAAATTACGACGAAATTATCCCGCCTTAAAAGTTCAGATTAATAAAATGAAATCATAAATTTCAGAATTTCAGATTCCCCCTAAAGCCTGCACGAAACGGGCCATCAGCCCATCCGCAAGCTGACGTGGCAATCACGGTAGGTGGATGAACAGTAACATAACGACAAACTATTTGGATAATTGAATCATTTTTTAAAAATAATTTAAAAATAATCTTTTTTATTATTTTTTTCATATATAACTTTAAATATTATTTAAATAATTAAATTTTTATTTTATATTTATAATATTAAATTTATTTATCTATTTATTTACATATAAAAATTATATTAAAAATAATATAAAAACTATTCCTATATCAATATTTTTTTATATAACACTTATATATTATATAAAAATATAATTATTTAAATTATATATAATATTTACATAAAAAAAAATAATAAAAGACTGTACTTAATTGAATAATAGAAAGACAAAAACAGTGGGTAGGACGCGACTGTCAGGGATTGCCGGCTGTGGGACCCGCACCTCTTACAACCACTTAGCAAGCAATAACCAACAGCAGAGCGCTTGAGTCTCACGCGCATCAGAGCAAGCGTTGAGTAAAACAAAATACGCAACGAGGAGAATTCTTTGTAAACTACGAACGTTTGGCTTGACCCGCCAGATTAGTATCTATCGTAACAGCTGGCAAAGCCATCCTCAAAATGGAGCCCACCTTTCAGCAACCAAAATCACATACGCTACAATCAGAATAATTCAAACTTTTTACAACAAAAAGATCTTTACACGTGTCAAGATGACTTTTTATGATGGTATAACGAAGGGTGAGATCGAAGAGGAGCACGGAATCTACGATGGGGGAAGAGCAGTGGAAAAGAACATGAAGTGATCCAGGAGTGCTCTAACCGCGCCAATGATTGGTCTCGTTTTTTTTACCATAAAGTATAATCCTCTTATAAATCTTTCCTCTGTTCTAATTTTTTATTTTTATAATGTTAGGACAGAATCGGAGGGCGATCGGGAGTTTGCAGAGAGAAAAGCTCTGTATTCATTGAAACGAGATCCGGGGCTCGGTTCTTTCGTGCGTTAGAGATTTCAATCTTGGAATCAATTCAATTTTGAAAAGAGCGGGATAAAGAGCCAGTTAAGGCTCTGAAATGTATATGCAATTCGTTCTTCTGCTTATGCTTGTAGAAGGTAGAGTTGAAGAAGGAGAGTGGGAGAAGGAGAGATAAGATCTTATCGATCGGAATTAGTTCGTCGGAGAGATTCAACGGAAACGGTGTTGTTCTGTTTTCTGGTTTGATTTTTTGTTTACGGTTTGAATCTGGTTAGGTTTTTGATTTTCTGATTTTTTGATGCAGGTTTTTTGTTGTTTGGTTTTGCTGCAATGGCTGCGATTGTGATGAAGGAAGGAAAGAAAACTTCAGTTGTAGAATCTCAATCGCTGGCTACGAAGCAGAAAAGCCAAACCGAATTTGAGTTCGCGGAATGCGATTGCTGTGGATTCAAGGAGGAGTGTACGCCGGCGTACATTGCTCGTGTGCGGGAGAAGTACGAAGGGCGTTGGATATGCGGACTCTGTGCGGAAGCGGTGAAAGACGAGACCTATAGGTCCAAGAAGGATATCAGTGCTGATGAAGCATTAGATCGGCACATGAAGTTCTGCGAGCAGTTCAGATCTTCAAGCCCTCCGATTAATACAGCCGAGGAATTGATCTCAGCAATGAAACATCTCCTCCGGAGATCTCTTGATTCCCCTAAGCAGAAAAGATCTTCATGCCAACCATCATCAGCATCGTCCTTCATCCGATCTAAAAGCTATTTCCCCACCATATGAAAGTAAGTGAAAATGGTTGATGCTTCAAGAGATCGGAAGCAGAAGTCACCGGAGAATTGACTAGTTTGGATTAGTCTATAACTTAGTTTCCAATTCTCTGTTTAATTATCGCTAGCTCTTTATATTTTAATAATTAATGATTGAATGAATGACAGTTGAAGGAATTAAACTTCCTTTCTGGACTTTCAATCAAATTAGTCTAAAAATCTTTCTATTGTAAGTTAATCAGTGGAATAACAGGCATTTCTTTTGCCAGAAAATGTATTGAGTAGAACTGGTTCGAGCTGAACTGTTTAATTAGTGTAATTGTGTTTCCTGTCAAGTATGAAAATGGGGGAAGCAATAAAATAAAAGTAATGATGGAGGGAACGAAATTGGGAACGACAAATGATGTAGGGGTCAAATTAGTAATTGCACCACATACATGAATTCTTCCATCACTTGTTGTCCTCCAATTTCATTCCACTCTTTCGTCCCTCCCATCATTACTCATAAAATAATGGCATTGGACCACAAAAGTACTTAATTATATGAAAAATAATTGATGTATCATATACTTGTAAACACTTATCTAGTTTAATCATAAAATTAAAATGTACATAATACCCAAATTCACTTTCAAAATATAGTGGTTGGGATGGATCCACTCATAAACAAAAAACAGAGACAAATCCATCTATAAATTTTTTGACTTTGACAAATTACTCAAAATTTAATGTGTGACGTCATTTAATATCAGTACTATGTTAATTTGACGTCATCTGACGTCAGCAATCCGTTAACAAATTAACGGATTGCTAATATTAGATAATGTCACACATTAAATTTGGGATGATTTATCAAAATCAAAAACTTTATAGGTGAATTTGTTCTTGTTTTCTGTTCGTGATAGATTCATCCTACCACTATACTTTAGGGATGGATTTTGGTATTTTAATTTGCCTGTTGCTAATTTTTAATAAAAAATAATAATTTTTTAATAAATATATTAAATCAAATGGTATACTAACTAGTATCCACTTAATCATACATGAAACAAAGCCCACGCGTGCAGAAAATTTGTGAGGCAACTACTATATATCATTAAGTATATGCCTGCTGCTTGAAGATATTCTGGAGAAACCAAAGCTTTTTGTCCAGTAGTTTTCATTTTCTAGGAGATATTTTTAGTGAAATGTAACGGTTTTAAGAGGGAGTCTGTAATCTATTTCTCTTCTCTGGTTATCATCAAGTGTCCTGAAACGGATCCTACAGAAATATCTCAGTTTATGCTGCTGTGAGTCTGTGACCACATTTCTGATTTCTCTGGGTAAACTCTACCCGTGCAGTACGTTGTGCTGGTGAAATGAACATAAACAACTATTTGCTGGTCCCATCACATGATATTGCATGCAACTCACTTGTGACTAACATAATATCACAACTATAATGTAAACTTTATTTTTTTCAAGAGAAGGTTGATGACACAGGTAATAAAAGTAACTCTAGGTCCCTTTTAACTAAATTAGAATTTGAAATGAAAATTGAAGTTTTTTAACTTTTATTTTGGGGTTGCATAACGAGATAGGCAACCCTCTTCCTCATCCCCTTTTACTCATTATATAGATGATTCGACTCAAATTTAAGAGTTTTTATTTCAGTAAAAAAAATTATCACTTAGTTATTTACAATATGTTCGGTTTAATTGGGAGAATTGAGTTTTTTAATTAATTAAATTATAATATTTTAAAATATTATAATTTAATTAATGAAAAAAAATCTATCATTCTCCTTCTCTCGGTTTCTCTTAAACCAAATATACTATTAAATTGTTAGTCATTTATGTTTTTTTATTAAGTGAATGAAATTGGAATGGTGCCATGCGAGTTGGCCTACTATTATTCTGAAGGTGAGAGTTCTCCTTTTTTGGTTAATTTGCTATATGACCAATAATTGAAGAGGGGATGCTTATAACCAGGTTGGCTTTGAGAGAGAATATGATTAAATGAAATCATTGGTCTCTTCGTTCTTTAAAGTAAGTACATTGGATTGGTTAAAAGTAGCCATATTTCGTTATGATTCTTACGTAGTACTGTGGCTTATTTTAGTACAACTTGCATTATAATACGAGAATGTTCTTATAATAATTAACGTTATTAATCCTGGCAAAACTGAACAAGAGTTGGTAATCATAAAAGCCACATGCATGTATTCTCTATTTTGTTTTATTGGGAAATGTTTTTTGGGTAATTTTTTTTACCACTTTTCGACTTATATGTCATTTCAATAATTAGTTATTTTAATTAATGTAAGACACATGATATTAAATATATTTACTCATTTAATGACATGTAAAAATTGTATTAAAAAATGGTATAAAAAGATTGTCTATATATCACCGCTCTATTTTATTCAGGTTAAATACCAATTTTACCCCAAGCTTTCAATTTTGAACAATTTTAGTCTCTAAACTATTTTTTGCACTTTTTAATTCCTAAACCATGAAAGACATATATGATTTTAATTCTTTTAGTATTAGTTAATTTAATAAATCTATGCATATATTATAAGATTAGAAACTAAAAATATGTATATTTAGATATATTTAATGGATTAACTAATAAAAAAAAAGAATGTAGCTTTCATAATTTATTAACATAAAAATGAAAAAAAAAATAGTTTTGAACTAAAAATATTCAAAATTAAAATTCAAGAAGGAAAAAATTTGCATTTAACCTTTTTATTTAAGGCAAAACCCTATATTAAACCCCCAAACTTACCCTAAATTCTTTATTAAACCCTTAAATTTTTATTAAAACAAATAAGCCTATAAACTTGATAATCTAGGTAATTTAACTATTTTTCTTTATAGCAAACTTAATGTTTATTTATATCTCACTTGCATTCATAAATTATTGTCATGTTATTACCAACATAGTTAATAGTAATCTTGTTGAGGCCAAAGCCCCTATTTGCACCCTCCATTTATTTTTTTTCCGCGGTCAACACCTTCCAGAATTTTTCCTCCCTATTCACACCCTCCACTTTTAAAAACCCGTGAAAAACCTAATATTTTAACGGGCCGTCACGGCACCGTTAATAACCGTTAAAAATTGTAATACGTGGCATCAAACAATAACATAATCCAATGTGGACTTTTTTTTTGATGATATGGCATAATTAAATCATAATTAATTTTAATTTTTTCATTTTCTTCTTTCCCGCATCATCTTTACCATCTTCCTCTTTATCTTCCTGGGTTCCTCATGGAACCAGGAACCCAGAACTTTTTTTTATAATGTGTTATAATTAAATCATCATTAATTTTAATTTCTTCATTTTCTTCTTTCCCGGCATCATCTTCACCATCCTCATCCTCATCCCCCTAGGTTCCTCGCAAAACCCAGGTTCTGAGTTCTTCGTAGAACTTAATTTCACATGAATGCCTACCAAGCTAAGATTTTTATCCACACAATTATAAGTAAATGAATACTACACAAAAACATGATAAGCATCTTTTACTCCTTTCCCACAAAAAAGGAAAAAAACTCAAATTGACAACATATTCAGAAACAATCTCTCAGCAAAAAAACTCAGTTTTTCAACAAAAAAAAATTATTCCAAATTATTTTGCATAAAATCGAAAGCTAAGATAAATACATTTAAAATAAAAAAATTAAAAAAAAAAAGGTTGGAACTGGGTTCCTGCGCAGGAACCTGAACTGGTTCCCCACGAGGAACCCATTGAGAAAGAAGAGGATGGTGAAGATGGAGGACGGTGAAGATGATGCCGAGGATAAGGGGGGGAAAGAAAAAAAAAAAGAAAAAATGTCATTTATGTAACTGTTTGGTAATATTATAATTTTTTATTATTTTTACTGTATACGTGGCGTCCATCTTGGATTACTAACGTTACATAATACCACGTCAATTTTTGAGTGCCACGTAATATATTTTTTAACGGTGCTATAACGGCCCGTTAAAATATTGGGTTTTTCACGGGTTTTGAAAATGGAGGGTGTGAATATGGAGGAAAAATTCTAGAAGGTGTTGACCACAGAAAAAAAATAAATGAAGGGTGCAAATAGGGGTTTTGGCCATCTTGTTGATCAAGGGCGGAGGCAGAAATTTTTTTCAGGGGAGGTAAAATACTAAAATTTTCAAAGTTCAAGGGGGGCTAAATAATTTTTCTTATGCTAATTTGCAAGATTCTCAAATTTCAGGGAGGACGAGCGCCGCCCCCTCGCACCCCCTCGCTCCGCCACTGTTGTTGATGCGAGTAAGTTATAACCTAACATTAAGTTTTTTTTGTAAGAAAAATAGTTAAATTATTTAAATTATCAAATGTAAAGATATATTATTTCAATAAAAATTTAACAGTTTAATAAAAAAATTTAAAATAAATTCGGTAGCTTTAAAGTAAGGTTTGGTCTTTATTTACTGCCATCTCCTTAATTTACCGAAAACAAAAAGGCATGAACAGCAGCTTCTTGCTTTCACCATTTTTTTAATCCCTATTTGAGACTTGGTTTCTGTTACACGAAACGTGTCAGTTTCCTTCATGAGTCGGATTCCTTTCTTTTTTTTTTGTTGATAAGGGCAATGGTTAGTAGGTTAGTATTGTTAGATGTTAGTAACTGGAGATTCGATCCCCAGATCTGGTGAACAGCATACCAGCCTCAATGAGGTGCGCGGCCATCAGGCCGCTTTGGTGGAGTTCGTCGGATTCCTTTCTTTGTACTACAATTGGTTGCCTTTGTACTGCATTTTCCACTTTTCGTTCCACTGTTAATTTCCTGCTTGTTAATTGCACTGCCACTTCTATGTATTTACACAAATTGCCACTCCTCTCTACTCGAGTGCTTTATTACTCGTCAATGTTTTCCCATTCGTTCATCAATTGTGCTCCGACTGCACAATGCATTATTTTTCTGTAACTGCATCAAATTAGAAGTCTTTCTTCAGTTCGTATTTGTACTTTGGATTGATCTACAAAGCCCTGAGGTGAATTTTCGGGATAAACACTTCGATACTTAAGTCAGCAATAATCGAGGTTACCTTTAGAACGGAGGAACAAAGAGCTTAGGATTGGTTTTAATTACTTTTTGGTGTGGCCTTTAAGGGGTATTTATATGTTTCGATAGAGAATCCACGCGGCATGCCAAACAAGACGCCAAGCAAAATATCCGAGATCCGATGTGTATCTTCAGGCAGTTATTTCAAGACCGAGAGATTGAGCCAAGCAAGATATTCGGATTTGATGTGTATCTCCAAGTAGTTATTTCAGGACCGAGAGATTGAGATATATTTAGATGCAATGATGTCCATCGTAACAGCTGTGTAGCTGTTCGAGCGAGAAGCTCTG